TATATATATATGTTATTTATTTATTTATTTGTTTGTTTATTTATTTATTTGTTTATTCATTTATTTATTTATTATTTATTTATTATTTATATTTATATTTATATTTATATTTATATTTATATTTATACTTATATTTATACTTATATTTATATACACACACCTGTTAGAATATCATACGATGGCTCTTCGAGGGATCGGTTTCGAGCAGCCCGTTGAAGCCTCCTGCCGATGTAAACCCTCTGACGAAGATATCCCTGAACTCTAAACTCTGAAGGTTCAGGTTTCAGGGTTTAGGGCTTAGGGCTTAGGGTTTAGGATTTATAGCCCCGATACACCCCAAACCCTAATCTCCGAACCCGAAACCTAAAACCTTGCAGCCCCACCTGGAAGAGAGGGCCCTGCTGTCTCTCGGTGCCGAAGAAATCCTGCGAGGAGTGCCCCTTTGAGGTTTTAAGGTTTTGGCTTTAAGTTTAAGGTTTGGGGTTTATGGGATTGAGTTTATGGTTTAGGGTGTAAGGCTTCGGGCGTAGGGTAGCTATGAAGGATTCGCCAATACCCCTTCATCAAGGAAGAGACTTTAAACTATAGTGAGGCCGCTTAAATGTGATTCAAGGCATGCCTGGGTTAGGGGCTTCTATAAGGGTTGCTATTCGAGTTGCTAGCAAGGTTTCGCATATCAGGTTTCGGTGTACTTTTGGGGCTAGTAGAAATGGCTGCTATCATGGGGCTACAAGGATTACTGTCAGATTGACTACAGGGTAAGTTACTCTACGAGTTATATAAGGGTTTCCGGGTCTCATACTTACCGTTTCGGTATGCTGCAGGGCTGAATGGCCTGAGGTGTTGAGATGATAGGGACTCCTAGGGGGATAGGGGAGAGGGGGGTAAGGGACTAGACTCTTCCTTAAATAGGCCTTATTAGGTCCTCATTGCTGGTATTGAGGCCCCCTACCCCCCAAATGGTCCCTATGATGAAAGTATAGCTGTGAGGCCGCAAGGATTCGGTGTTTAATTAAAGCATAGACAGAGCTAGGGCCTCGGTCTTGCGTGCTTAGCACGGTGTAGGGTTTTGGGTTTCGGGTTTCAGGGCTTAGGGTTTAGGGGTCAGTTTCGATAGCAGAGGCTTTACGCACAAGGCGCACCTGCAAGAACCCCAAAACCCTGAACCCCACTAAGTCGTCTTGTCCTCTGCGTTCACCAGGAACGGGAAGGGTGGGTTGCCCACGCAGGCATTGTGGGCCTCCACGACGGTCTTGGCCGCGTAGCAGGCATCTGGGCCTCGCAAGAGCGAGACGAAGGATGCTGGAGGAATTAAGTATGGGTTTAGGGTTTAGGGTTTAGGGCTTAGCGTTTGTCCGTGGAAGTAGCAAAGCTCTTCATCATGATATCACTACACCCTCGTCACCATCGGCACGGACGTGATACCATCCATTGTCAACACGACCACAACGTAAAACGTCAGCATCACACCACTACCACCATGAGCACCAACACCACCATCATCATCATCATCATCATCATCATCAGTCTTCTTCAACTTGAAGCCCACCTTTAAGTTTCAGTTTCTACTTCACCACCACCACCATCAGCAGGGTGACGTGCACATGCATCATCAACATTACCAACATCCCCACCATCATCTTCTTCACCCTCACCATAAGCCACAATCATCATCATCGTCGTGCTTGCACGCAGACGCTAAAGCTTCAACCCAAAGTTCTAGTCGTTGGTAGCAACTGCAACTGGTATTGCTGCCGGTGGTTCTTTGCCCGAACCCATCCAGGCCTGGGACGCGAACGAATTCCGGCACCACGAGGCCAACGAAGGCCAACATCGCGATCCTACCGTGCTTCCTGGGATAGCTTGGGGACGTGGGATTTCCGAAACTATGTTTTACGGTTTAGGGTTTAGGCTCCAATCTTCAGGCTTGTTGCTTGGAAAACTGCCTGCTACTGCGCAGGTCAAACAACAGAGCAAGTACTAGACGCCAAACGACAACAAAAAAAGAGCCCATGCAGGCAAGTTATTGTAGCTATTACCGGACAGAGGCTTAATTCAAAGCTCAAGGAGTCTGCAGAAAAACGAACCCCGACGCGTCCCAGTAATTGCCCCACGAGAGGACCTCGAACTTGGTTTTCAGGTTACACTAGGGTTTGGCGGACCTGGAGTTGCACATGCCAGAACCATAAACTGGCTATGGGGATTGCCAAATCACACAGCCCCTAGACCAGATAGTCTGCGGCATCTAGATGCAGTGCGCCCCAAACCCTAAACCCTAAACCCTAAACCCTAAACCCTATTGACACCCTAGAGCCCCACCGTCCGAAAAAGCCCCCTAAGCCCCCAAGCACATTACAGCAGCCATGAAGCCGAAACCCCTAGATCCGAAGCCCTAAACCCTAAACCCTAAACCCTAAACCCTAAACCCTAAACCCTAAACGCTGCTAGCCAGGGGGCAGCTCCGCCTGTGCAAAATTTCAGAGTTTAGGGTTTAGTTTACTGGGCTTTGAAGTAACCAGGGAGAAAAACGTCAGTATAGACTTTTATCTTATACTGGTTCCTTTAAGGAACAGGTCCCAAAGAAAAGTATTCAAGTATGGTACTCCAGAACCCAGTTTAGAGCTTAGGGTCTAGGGTTTAGGGCCTTTACAGTTTAGGGCTTAGAGTTTAGAGTTTAGGGTTTAGAGTTTAGGTTTCAGGGTTTAGGTTCAGGATTTAGAATTTAGGGCTTTAGGTCCAGGGTTTAGAATTTAGGTTTAGGGTTTCGGGTTCACAGTTTAACGATCAGTCAGAGTTTAAGGCTTTGGGTTCGGTTTTTGTTGCACCCTTTTGCACTCTCCGCTACAAAGTCTGCAAGACAGAGAAGACCTGGGGAGATCAGGTGTTGTCTCGAGTCCCCCCCTCCACAGACGCAACCTGGACCTCCATGAGCTCGAGCACCGATGACGCCCAATGGTAATGTAGGGGCCTTAATAGTTAGGACAGGGTTTTGGGATATCTTATGCTATAGCTATATTAAGGAACCCCCAAAATAGAATTGGGGTGCATGCTGCTGCGCAGCTGTCCAAAGCCGCTCCAGGCGTTGCAAACTTGTGTCATTCGTCAAGTCTGCCCAGTCGTTCCTCGAAGTCTGCAAGGACCTCGCCGCAGTTGTGCACAAAACCTTCCATGCCGTCACACAACACTGAAGGATGATGTAGAAAGTCAAGCCGAACTTGACCCAAGGTTCTGGGGTCTAAGATTCAGGGTTCAGGGCTTGGGGTTTTGGATTGAGGGGGTGCTCGGGTTCTGTTGCGGTTTACGGCGATCTCCGTAAGGCCTGAGGTTAAGAACTTGTTCCAAGGTTTCTGGGTGGAAGGTGCCGGGGCCTTTTTAGAGGTTTTGGTTTGGTGTTATCCGTTCCTTGCGAGGCTTGAAATTTGGGGTCCTTCTGTTAAGGTTTAGGGTTCCGTCTCAGGCTTAGGGTTGCATTCGGTTAAGGGTGCTAGGGCCGCTAGGGTCCTTATTCGGGGCTCCTTCTAAGGCTTAGGATTTAGGGCTCCTGGGTGTGTGCTAGGTTGAGGAATGCAGGCATCGTGTGGGTCTTGAATTGGCCTGAACCCTAAACCCTAGAATCCCTCTGAACTTTCAAGTGACGTTTCCGGCCACGAAATTCAGAAGGGCTTGGGATTCGGAACCTTGTCTTTGAACCCCAAGACACCGAAACGCCTAAACCCCCAATCAAAGTCCTAAACGTCAAATTGTTGTCATGTAGCCTCCAGGCTCAAAACAGGGCCCTTAACAAGTAGAATAGGGTGTAGGGGCACACTAGACAGAGTTGTATTGTCAGAAGGAACCTCAGGGAATAGGATTACTCAGACTTTAGGCTTCTATCTTGGTTTAGGGAGTAGGGTTTAGGGTTTAAGGTGTAGGGTGTAGGGTTTAGGGGTTTAGGGTTTAGGGTTTAAGGGTTTAGGGTGTAGGCTTTAGGGGGATCCAAGGCGAAAAAATTCCATGACCCCCTGCAGCTCCAGTCGGTCTCTGCCTCCCGGAACCAGGGCAGGTACCTCGGCAAAGGGCGGCGGAGGTTTCAGGGGGGGTTTAGGGTTCAGGGTTTAGGGTTTAGGGTTTAGGGTGATTTAGGGCTTCCTCTCGAGGCCGAAGTAGTTTCAATAAAGTTTTGGGCCATAGCAGACTCTACATATACTGCAAACCCCTCATTATTCAGTCTCTTGTATTAAGCTCGTATTTGGGTGATAGACCCTGCTGCCTTCCTAGCGAGGCCCTCCCGGTGGGCATATTGTGAAACAGGGCAATCAGGCTCTTTGGGGTTTAGGGTTTGGAGACGTCGGGATTTAGGGAGTTTAAGGTGTAGGGATTTAGGGTTTGGGGTTTAGGGTTTAGGGGGTTTGCGGTTCCACAAGCCCGCATCTACGGGCAACTTCCTTAGATGATACTAGGGACTCTGAACAGACACCGGCAATGAGCGAAGCCGAAGGTTGAAGACATCTTGTATGTAGGATGGTGGGGTTGTAAGCAGCCCCTCTTAGTGGAGCTATCCTAAAATGATAACCTTACGTATAACCTTACTTACTCAAGTATGGCTGAGGAACAATTTCAGGCCTAAACTCGACCCTTTCTGTGCTAACATCGGGGTAGCCCTCGTCATCCTCATCAGCATCATTATGATGCCGCCCCCTCCAAGCGTTGGGGCGCGGAACAACAGTGATTTTGGGCTCCTTTTACAGTATATCCATAATACGCGACCCTCAAGCCCTAAGGAATAACATAGGCAATGATTTAGCATAGGCCCCTATGTTAGACTTTCAGTGGAGCTTGGGTTCCCCCGCAACTCGATTGCTTGGACCGGGATCACCAACTCTCGGAGGGAGAAGAATCTGCAACAAATCCTACCGCCCCCGTGTTCATGTTACTGTCATGCACCCGAAACCCTCCGATGTTCCCTACAGAGCCTCGTAACACCCTTTAAAAAAAGTGTGACCTCTAACAACATCCGGGAAAAGAGTCGGTTCTAAGCCCCGGGCTTCTCGCACTTCACTGAGAGGCCCAATGGGTCGAAGTTGAACTCCTCTCCAAGACTCTTAAAGCACCAAATCAAGAGTTTCTTTTATTCATGCAGGGCTTAGGGCTTCGGATAATTCATATTGGTGCGTAAGGGTGTGGGGTTTTAGGGCCCGCAAGAGCTTGCTTAAGGGCTCCTGTAGAGGATTCTATAGAAAGAGGAACCTCTACAAGAACCCTGCGGGACCTCCTGTGCTAACCGGTGGAAACGAGCCCCCCCGAATCGTGCGGTGGCCATTGGCCCCTTCCATCGACTTCTTTTCTTTGGGGTTTTGGGTTTAGGGTTTAGGGTTTAGGGTTTAGGGTTTAGGGTTTAGGGATTTAGCGATTTAGGGTTTAGGATTTAGGGATTTAGGATTTAGGG